AGATTCTATTTTACAAATCCTAAGGGGCGTCTTATTTGTCTTATTTATCTGCATAGATAAGTGAATGTCTAATAGTAAATAGTGTCTAAAGTGAATGTCTGAGTGCCAGTTTTTTTGGCTTTATTGTATTTCAGTTTGTCGACTTGGGTTAATTAATATTTAATAACACCTAGTGGCAGTTTGTTAATGTTTCTTCAGAGCTCAAGCTTGTCACTGTCATCACATTTCTAATGCTTGTCATATTTAAGCACGCCTGACTACCTCATATGTCTCACTTTTGGGAGAAATCCAGCCATATATTTTTTCAAGCATACTGCATAGATGATACCTCAAAACTTTACAGTTTTCTTTACCAAGTTTTAAAACTTTTTGGCTACAATATTTTTTAAAATTTAGTTTGAACCTTTTGAAAGGAAGGATTCAATTTCACAAGGACAGAGCGAAGCTTGTTGTGTTGACCCTGCCCTCTACCCTCCAATTGTTCAATTACTTTCATGGGCAGGTTACTTTCAAAAGTGCTTACTTTTCATGAAAATGGCACATGGATCTTCTTAGCACATCAAATAACTATCTTCAAAATTTTATTTGAATTTAGTCACCATATCCTCCTAATAAAACTTCAAAGCCCCCAAGACTATGCAAACAGTGTCAGCGTGATTTATGCTCTGCCTCTACCCAAATTGGCTTTGCATAAATTATTGAAGATTGATCGATTTAATGCACACTGATTTTCAAAAAACTAAATCCTGAATAGTACATAGGTACTCTCTAAAGAAGGCATCATTGTATCTGTTTTCAAAATGAGGCATAAAGAAATACCACACTAATCCTCATCACTTTTCAGAAAGAAAATGGTGGACGTACAAAAGCTGATCCTGCAGGAAAAGCGTCCATTTCTGGATGCTCAGAAGTGTTTTGTCAGCTCGGACCTACGGGTGGCGCTGCCGGCGCACGAGGGCGCCCCCGTCCGGCTGACAGACGGCCGCCGCTCCCTCGTCTGTCGTCTGTACGTGCGGCCCGAGCTGCGGCCCGGCACGGCGCTGGCGGACGGCTGCGCCACCTGTCTGGTGCCGGCCGGGGCCGAGCCGCCGCCTGCCGGCCCGCCGGCGCGTCTGTCCGTACCCGAGGCACTGTCGGTGACGCGGCTCTCGGTGCGGCTGGTGTGCAGCTCGGCGGCCGACGTGCTGCGGCTGCGGCGCCGGGACGCGGCCGTGACGGCGGCGCGCGCCCTGCTCACCGGCCGCGCGCTGTCGGCTCGCTGCCGGCTGGGCTGCGCCGGCACGCCGCTGGGCCGCCGGCTGGGCGTGCTGTGGCTGGAGGTCACCTGCCCGCAGCTGGCCGGTGAGACGCTCGGCAGTGCAGCGGCTGACGCTGACGTCACCGTCGCAGCCGTGGAGACCCGGCTGCACGCAGGATTCGCCGCCGAGCGCCCGCCGACCAGCGGACACGCAACGGCGCGCGCGCGGCTGACGGCCGCGGCGCGCCACTTTTGTCACCCCGACTCAGACCGCTCGTCCAGTGTCCTACTGCTGGGGCCGGCCGGCTGCGGTAAGGCGACTCTGGCGCGCGCGGCGGCGGCGGCGGCCGGCGCGCTGCCGGTGACGCTGCGCTGTGACGACCTGCCGTCGGAGCGGCCGGGCGCCGCGCAGACAGAGCTGCGGGCGCGCGCGGCCGAGGCGCGCCGGCTGGCCGACTGCGGCCCGCTGCTGCTGCTGCTGCGCGCCGTGCACGCGGTGCGGGGCGAGCCGCGCGCGCAGCTGCTCCAGCTGTTGGACGAGGTGCGCCGCTGGCCGCGGACGCTGGTGGTGGCCACCTGCAGCCAGCCGCAGCAGCTGCACTCGGCCCTGCGCAGCGCGGCGCGCTTCGACACAGAGGTGGGTGGAGGGAGAAGGGACGGGAGAGTGTCAGTCAGTGGTAAAACATAATACAGTTTTGGGGATGTTTTATAAACGGCTGTTTAACGTAACACCATTTTTAGCGCCCCTCTGGCCCACGTTCCCCGTTCCCTGCCAGCTGCTCTGACCTCTCCCCTCCTCCCCCAAAGCTGCACCTGACTGTTGGCGGCGCCGAGGACCGCGTGGAGCACCTGACGCACCACCTGGCCGGCCGCTCCCTGGTCGACTGCTCCATGCAGCAGCTGGCTGACATGACTCCCGGCTACTCGGTGGCCGACCTGCGCGCGCTCTGTCGGGAGGCCGTGTTTGGACGGACCCAGCAGGTCAGTGCAGTGTCGCTTTTCGCGTCTCACTGACCTGACGGAGCTAGGGGAGAATCGTCACTTGTTTGTGGTCTTGATGGGTAGGGTCGGACAGGCGGGTATGTGTCACTTTTTACACTACATCGTCAGTAACAAGGAAGTCCATGTGTGGCGGCTCATATTTTCAGCATATGTATATCTCTCCCCATTTTACGCATCCGTGGGTCCCAGCTATAACACAGCCCCGCCGGCAGGATGCCGAGCTGCGGCTGGCCGACTTCTCGCGGGCGCTGCTAGTGATCCGTCCGTCGGCGCTCAAGTCGGGTCCGGGCGCGGCGCCGCTGCCGCCGCTCTCCTGGGACCGTCTGGCCGGGGTGGGCTCTCTGCGCGCCCGGCTGCGCCGCTGTCTGGTGACGCCGCTGCGCCGACCGGATGCTCACCGGCGGCTGGGCGTGCCGGCGCCGCGCGGCCTCCTGCTGCACGGCCCGCCCGGCTGCGCCAAGACGAGCCTGGTGCGCGCAGCCGCGTCCGAGTGCCGCGCCGCCTTCCTGACCGCCTCGCCGGCCGAGCTGTTCTCACCGTACGTGGGCGACTCGGAGAGGGCCATCACCGAACTGTTCCAGCGCGCGAGGATGACCGCGCCGGCAGTCATCTTCCTGGATGAGCTGGGTGAGTGGTGCCGTTGGGGTACGGGTAAGGTCCTATAGGTACGGGGGTGCTCGAGGCGAGGGATATGAGAGGGTATAGGTGCAAAGGAAATGTGAATGATTTGAATAACTAGTTATACGAATTGGTCTGTTGAAATTTGTGACTGTCTGCTTGGTACGAAGACAGTGGCCCCATGAACAATAGCTTATTGTTAAATAGAACGACTACAGAATTAACTAGAAGTTCAAGAATCACATTCATTACCTGTTCTTTTTACTGAAGTAATTGTGTGGAAGACCACTATGCCATGCGTTGAAACCTTCAGGATTTAGTTTCTTGGAAGGTTACTCGATGGCGAGATCTTGCAGGATGTGCGAGCTAACGTCATCTGTTATTTGTCCTTTTCGTCGCCGTTGTGCTTATTCCGTTGTGACCCCTGGCCCCCTCAGACGCCACGACAGTGGGCACGCGCAGCACCAGTGACTGACCCGTCCGTTGCGACCCCCTGTTCCCCTCAGACGCCATAGTGGGCACGCGCAGCGCCAGCGGCCAGTCGGGCGTCCAGGCCAAGCTGCTGTCAGCGCTGCTGAACGAGATGGACGGCATCGGCATCAAACAGGATCAGGCGGTCAGTGCTTATTTAGTTAACACATCAGTTAACGTTAGTCAGGCGTCAATGCTGTTTCATCTTAGACGGAGCACATCACACACACTTCGTCAGTCGAGATCCATTTAGTTCCGTTAGTTCACGTGACGTCCGGCGTGAGGTGAACTCGGCATCAAGATATGAAAGGGTGTCTGGCGGAGCCCGAGACTCGGTGAGAAACCAGAATATGTCAGAAGTCAGATGCCTCGGGTGTCGGGGCGGCCGTTGAGGTGTGGTGTCTGTCGTAATTCGGCGGCTAAGCATAGGTGAACTGGACTTGCCGCTATCTTGTCTGTCAAGGCGTGAAACGTGTGAGCACTTGCTCGGTATTGCGGCTACAGATGTCCCACGTACCCCTGTTGACCGCACACCACCCCCGGCAGGCGGTGGATAGTGCGGTGTTCGTGGTGGGAGCCACCAACCGGCGCGACCTGATCGACGAGGCACTGCTGCGGCCCGGCAGGCTGGACCAGCACGTGCACGTGCCGCTGCCGGACCGACAGGCCCGAGAGGAAATTATACAGGTGAGAGGGGCGGACCGGCCCGCGGGAGGATTTGTAGGGCGGGGGTGTGACGGATGGGATGCCCTAGTGGACAGGAAGGGTGGGATAGCCGCTGAGGGGAACTGTGTAACGTTTCCGTGGTCGTTTGAATGTTTTTGTTCAACGCCGGACCTGTCCGTCATTTGGCACGACGTGCAAGGCCTAAGAAAACTGTGTTTAGTACTCCTGATGTGCATGCTCAGCACCAACCTTCGAGGTCCTGCAAAATCGTCACATACTCGTAGAGCGCATCGTGTTTTCGCAGCTGTACCTGGCCGGTATATCGTGTGGTCTCGTTTGCAGCTGCTGTATGTACCTGGCCGGTATGGAGGTATAATTGTATATATACCCTGTGATCCCCTTCGCAGTTGTACCTGACGGGTATGCCGGTGTGCAACGACGTGTCGGCCGCCGAGCTGGCCGATATGACGGAAGGTTTCTCCGGCGCCGAGCTGCGTCACCTCTGTAACGAGGCCGGCCTGGCGGCCCTCACCGAGGACATTGGGGCCTCGGCCGCCACCCGGCGCCACTTCCTCAGACACCTGGGGGCTGAGCCGGACGGGAACGGAACGGGGCCGGCCGGGCCGCTGGCGAAGGGCGCCGGTCAGAGGTGACGGTGCGGAGCTGATGGTATGGTGCAGTGTTGTTTAGTCGGATCGCTGAGCGATTCCACGCCATTTGTTGTGTCACATGCTTATGGGGGACTGCTGTGTTGTTTTGGGCTCAAGTATGTGGCGTTGTTATTATTATTTTTGTCACCAATAAAGGGATTCCTTTTTGTGGAAGTTTCATGATCTGGGTTTGGACGTATAATTAGGACCATTGGTAGTAGCTGCTGATGAGCGCTGTGGCCATGTAATCGGGAAATCCGCACAAACGTACAGCTTCGGCTCCCGTGAAGGTTAACGAATGGAGAAATCACTGATGCTTGAGGACTGCAGTCCACACCAGCCGATCATACATTTCCTTACACAAATGTCGGCACGTGTATTGAATACACACAGCTGGAACAAAACTGATGACTTCGGGACGATGCGCTGCCCCGTGTGCGGCGGCGGCGGCGGCGCGGGCGAGTGAGACGGATGAGCGCGCGCTGCGGGGCGGCTACGTCTTCCCCTGCTGCGCCTCCTTCCTGGTGGCGTCCTGCAGCAGCTGTGTGTCGATCTCGTCAGCCGGCAGCTGCACGTACCGCACCACCGAGCCGCGGATGAAGCAGTTCTTCACCGACAGCTGCGCAGAACGGGCGGCGACGTCAACATGGCGAACTATTGGGTGTGAGGTAATGGGGGAACGAGAGCATATCGGACATGAACTTAGCAGAACAGGCCCCGACAGATTGATTACCGAAACTCGATAAGCACCTTACACAAACATTTTTTCCGGTGAGCAAACCTGAGCTCCGTACAGGAAGCCCCTTTCCTTGATCAAGATACACTACCGAAGGCCAAGAGGCTCAATTTTAAGGGCACTCACCATGTGTGGATACTTTTCCTGGTCTATGACACTGATGTCTGATAGTTTGATGTTCAGGTACTGGTCGACCGAGTGCAGTGTGCCACATATGCTGAAACAGAGTGGCAGTGCAGCTGTTTGTTAGGTGAGCATGGTGGGACCATGACACAATAAACAATGAATGATTGGACTAGGTACTGTTCTGAAACCTTTATTGGATCAGAGCACTGACAGTCACATATGAGAGGCAGATGCACAGTACACAAACAACAAAGGTCATTTGTCTCCCACGCATGGCAGTTATGAGTTATAATTATGGATAAAAACTTATAAGTTATTAAATATAGACTTATAGGTTTCCCAAACCACTCACCTGAGATCATTTTTTAGCTCGACCACCACATCCTTTCCTACCAGGGATTTGAAGAATGAGTAGAAGAGCTGAAAGAGAATTAGGATATAACTCAATGCCAGACTGATGGTTTGTGGTTTAAGATAAATCTGAAAAATGCACAATCAAACTTGCATGCAAGATAATTACTAATGAAAGTTGCATAACATTAAACTTTTAACTGTGAACTATGAATATGAACCACTAATTAAGATTCCAAAATGGAAAGAGGGATCATGGTATAAAGAGTTTCAGTATTTCAACCTGTGACAAAACACCTTAGATACCACTAAGTACTACACAAATTAAAACTGATGCACGTTTGCATGCATATGGTCTTGGTCATACTGGCAACTCACTCACAGCCAGTAACAACCATAAATTGGTAGGTATTGGACATAAGTACAGCATCATGGAAAAACATTGTTGAATTTGAGCTCTGAAACCAACCAGAAAAACATTTTTCCACTTAGAGCATTCCCCAATCACTGCAACATCAGCATTGACAAATGCATATCAGTCAAAGAAACAAGGCCTGAAAATAACCATGCATGTACAATGGATGGAAAAAGTACTGCGTGAATTTATCGTTCCATTTCACAGTTATTTTCAGTAGGTAAATTTCAGCCAAACCATTTCTTCAGCACAAATCAAAATAGACCGTAATAGGCCCTCGTGTGGAGCACCTTACGCACACAGGCGATCGGGACGAGGCCTCTTCTACAAAGGGTTAGGCACTGTATTAAGCTGCACCAATGATGATGTATTAAAGACACTGTGCCTGTGGGTCATAGATTACGAAATAAACCTTCAAATGTTTCCATAACAGTAGGCGGAACTATGGTCATGAGTACCCAAATATAGGAACGTTCCCATTTTTGGGAACGGAGTTCCCAAATATGGGAACGGGCGTTCCCATTTATGAGAACGGAAGGCAATTTTTCGGCCGTTCGCCCACTAAAACTCAAAAGTGCATCACGTCTCAAAAAAGTGCACGCTGATTTAAGTATCTACTAAATCTCCATAAAGTTATCTTTAATCTGACCGTGGAACAAGGAAATTGACCGTGGAATGATATTTTTAATGATTTTTTAAAAATGACAGAATGGTGGAAATATGGGTTATATGACATTTAACATGCAATTTTAAGGAAAATGAAGCATTTTTTACATTTTGAGGTCAAGTATAATAATTTTCGCCTGGTTATGAAGTTTCATTCTAGCGACACCAGATGCTGACATATGCAAGCGAACACGCGGACAGTCCCGAGGTAATATTGTTGACTTTTGGTGTCGGGGCGATCGACCGCGTGGAACGTCAGTGATTTTACCGAACTACTGTTGTAAACTCAGTTTCAGTGGTTTAAAATCATTCAGTTGTATTTTATCAGCCCTGAAAGACATATTTTATTTGGATGCTAGCTGTTTAGCGTTGTTTTATAAGCAGCGTCATGAGCGTGGTTTTTGTCTTCGGCGTTTCTAAGCATGATCGTTTGGGGGGAATTTCTCTGATATAGGTCGCTCTGTGTGGCTTATTTATAATTTTTATGCTGATTTCGATCATTCCTCGTGCCCATCCTACCAGGCCTTTTGCCACTTACACTCATTAAGAAAGGAAAAAACTAGATTTTCATTGGGACTAGGTGTTTTGAGGGTGTAACATATTCAGCGTTCCCATTTTTGGATACTTCTTGTGCTCGTCAACTCTCGGTGATTAGCAGACAGGTGCTTGACATGTCTCCACCCTCGGCGCGGACGGTGGATATAGGTATGGAAGACCTTGTTGAACATCGCTGAGCGTTGTGGATTACGTAATCCTGCAGAGGGGGCGTGCCCGCTGCGAGATCGACGGGAATAAAAGCGCAGAAGACCGGGCGAAACATGCAACGGTCTTGCCGGAAAGGTCATCTGATGATTGTTGCGTTAACAATAATTTGCGGCGTTGGACGTGATGCTTGTTAATGAAAAGAGCCCCTGAAAGGCGTCGGTGAAATCGTTCCCAATTTTGGGTACGCCGTTCCCATAATAAGGAACGCTTGCAGCGCCAGTGTACGAGAGCGTTCCCAAATTTGGGCTCGCGGCCCGGGTGATGGACTGCTTTAGAAATAGGGGAACGATTTGAAACTACGATGGGCCTTACAATATCAAACTCTTTCCCAACAATATTGAGACAACTATCAGGCGGTTCACGATCGTTTTATATTTTTTGGACGTCATTTAACGGTTCTTTTTCTTGTTTTAAATAATGCCTACATGGCGTTCCCATATTTGGGTTTATCGTTCCCAAACATGGGAACGAAAATGCGTTCCCGAAAATGGGTACGCTTGACCATAGTTCCGCCTACTGATAACAGTGTTGGCAAACCGAAAATTGTCAGGTGACATTTTTGAGACTTACCATTGTGACTGAGTGGGCGAATCACCTGAAAACCGAGGACTAAGGAACCAAAAAATGAACCTAAGCTTTGCTAGAAACGCTTGATAACCTCAGAATAATTTCTAACGCTCTTTACTATATTATCAATCATCAGCACCTCCCCAGCGGATTGCAGTTCCGTTTCCAACAACGCCAACAACCCAAACGTTGCATCCGGTGTCCGTATTCGCCGTTAGTCTTTTGTGATGGGACTTTGGTAAGCTTTGATCACGTGATCAAACCTGTTGTCGGTATATGGAAAATTTATGCTTAAATTGGTTACATTTGACCTTTTCGCCTAAATCTATATAATTTGTAATAGCACCTGCTTTGTTTTGTTTTGTAAACGAAATGACAATTCTCACCATAATACTGATTATTTTTTCATTTTAGTCACGTGATATGACATGCGCTTTATCGAAGTCACAGTCGCCAGTTTTGTATCTGAAACCCTGTTCAATACTTCTTGTTGCTCCTGCTGCTGCCTGAGAATGTCTTCAGAGACAGTTGTTTATTGGGGCTTTAGGGCGCCGTCTTCACGTCAACACCTACGCTGATTACGATTACTGTGAGCGGGAACGCTATTAGCTACCGCAAATCCTGTGACCCGTCTGCCTAATGATGAATATAAGACCAAAACCCCTACAGACGGTTACAAACTACGATACTGACATTGACAACAGAAGCATAAGCGAAAGCGATTTGAGTAGCCAAGCAATTTCCGTTAGCATTATAAAGTGGAACAGCTCGATACAATGGGCAGTGAACAGCCCACTGCACCGCCACTTCATGCACTTCCCCCACTCCATCCGGCCTTGTCAGTCATGCTGAATGAAACTGTCAAAAATCAATGAGAAAAGGGCATGCCTGATGTCAAACAGGAAGAAGTTGAAACGCTGGCACCCTGCCAAACAAAACCACCTTTTGTGTTTCCTCTCATCCATATTGTATTCCCACTCAAGTGCTCTAATAAATCACAATCTCCTTCTCCAAAGACGGCAAGTCGTCGGTCGTGGTCTATTTCGGGCGCACCAATATAATAGCAGCGCGTCCGGGCCGCGGGTACCGCGTCCTCGTCGTATCACCGCTCCCACTCTTGCGCACATGAACAAGTACTCTGGACACACACGATCGGCCTGTGTGGCAGTTTGCACTACTACATAAAAATCGGCCCACCGCGCACCGCACACGTCCGCCGCTTAGGCCGACCAGCTCGACATGAAGTCCAGGACGACCTTCTTGAGGGCGGCGTCAGACTCGGGTGACAGGGAGCCCTCCTTGGCGATGCGCGCCAGCAGGTCCTTCTCGGTGACGCGGATGTGCGCCAGGAAGTCCTTCTCGAACTTGGTGATCTTGGTGGGGTCCACCTTGTCCAGGTGTCCGCGCACACCGCAGTAGATGACGGCCACCTGCTCCTCCACGGCCATCGGCACTGCGGGCACGCGCACACCGGAGCGTCAGAACGATGGAAACAAAAACTTGACTCGAAAGAACCGCGACTCTGGACCGCAAAACATTCAGTTAGAGAATCAGGCAGCCTTGAAACCGTGAACATTGAAAACAGCTCGAAAACTTAATCCCGTCAAGATAACTTATCAATATCAAAGATAAACCGCTATCAACATCCCAAAAATAGCCGCGGCACTCCCACCCGATAAGCCGTCGTGAGACCTCATTACGACACTCACCGTACTGTCCCTGCTTCAGGAGCTCGGTGAGCCGCACACCACGGTTGAGCTGCTGCTGGGTGGACGCGTCCAGGTCGGAGCCGAACTGCGCGAAGGCCGCCACCTCACGGTACTGGGCCAACTCCAGCTTCATCGAGCCGGCCACCTGGTGGCGCCACCGGAGCCAGAGTCAGACACCGAGCAGGAAACAACCGGCATGGGACATCTGAGAGCTCCCGCGGATGGTGGCATAAAGGTCAACGGTGAAAATATACAGATAGGTGCAGCATTATTATCGTGAACACCACATTATACGAATGTCATCGCGCTAAAACGTAAGCTCTGAAATGAAATGTGGTCGAAGCTCCACCCTCCTTCAATATGAGTCATAAAGCAGGTTGGTAAGCTGTCAGTTTCTGTACTTTCTCTCCTTAGAACAGCATGACTGGCTGAGTACTGTCCTTACACAGAGAAAGACGGCTATCCTCCCCCGGCGGCACGCTCACCTGTTTCATGGCCTTGACCTGGGCGGCCGCTCCGACACGGGACACGGACAGACCGACGTTGATGGCGGGCTGGATGCCCTTGTAGAACAGCTCAGTCTCCAGGAAGATCTGGCCGTCGGTGATGGAGATGACGTTGGTGGGGATGTAGGCGGACACGTCGCCGGCCTGGGTCTCGATGATGGGCAGCGCAGTCAGAGAGCCGCCGCCGTTCTTGTCGGACATCTTGGCGGCGCGCTCCAGCAGACGCGAGTGCAGGTAGAACACGTCGCCAGGGTAGGCCTCGCGGCCGGGCGGCCGGCGCAGCAGTAGCGACATCTGACGGTACGCCACAGCCTGCTTGGACAGATCGTCGTAGATGATGAGCGCGTGCTTTCCGTTGTCGCGGAAGTACTCGCCCATGGCGCAGCCCGAGTAGGGGGCCAGGTACTGCAGCGGCGCCGCGTCCGACGCCGTGGCCGACACGATGATGGTGTACTTCATGGCGTCCATGTCCGTCAGACGCTTCATGATCTGCGCCACGGTGGAGCGCTTCTGTCCGACGGCCACGTAGATGCAGTAGAGCTTCTTCTTCTCGTCCTGACCGTCGTTGAGACGCTTCTGATTGATGATGGTGTCGATGGCGACGGCAGTTTTGCCTGTCTGCCGATCGCCAATGATCAGCTCACGCTGGCCACGGCCGATCGGCACCAGCGAGTCGACGGCCTTGATGCCCGACTGCATGGGCTCGCGCACCGACTGGCGCGGGATGATACCGGGGGCCTTCAGACCCACACGGGCCCTGGAGGACAGACACAAGGCGGTCAGTCATAACGCTGAATATGGCTCGGTATTTATGGGATGATATTCACGCAAAACAAAGTACCCAGCCAAAACAACTAAACTCTACATTCCGAGCTAATGAAACTCCTTGGAAGTTGGAAGCATCTCTCCTCAAACAGCTTTTAGAATTGTTTTGGCGACAACACACCGCAGACTGTTTCTCACACACCCACCCGTCTAGCGCCCTTCCCCACCCCGCGCCCACCTGGAGGCATCCTTGATGGGTCCCTTGCCGTCGATGACGTTGCCCAGGGCGTCGACGACGCGGCCGAGCAGGCCCTCTCCGACGGGCACGTCCACGATGGCGCCGGTCCGCTTCACGATGTCGCCCTCGCGGATCAGCTTGTCGTTACCGAACACGACCACGCCGACGTTGTCGGCCTCCAAGTTCAGAGCCATGCCCTGTGGGACCACAACAGTAGCGCGTCAGTCAACATGCGCAGACCTCAGGGAGACAATGTGATTCACATCAAAATTCAAGTGTCAGTTTTATGAATGAACCAAGGTTCTGAAAACTGACGAGCACTTTTAACGCTACGAATTCTCTCGGGAAAACTAAGTGATGCGTGGCCACGTTAGCAGCGAACGTTGTCAGACATCTTCCCTAAGTTACCACAAAATCAAAACAGGCGTCGTTTTATCGCACCAGAAAATCAATCGCTGTGACAGAGTCCACTAATACTCGACAGAATAAGAGCCGGAGCTAGAATCTAGCTCTGAAACTCCTGCCAGTTCTCAAATTCTCGGCAATCGGACGCCCCCCTCACCTTGAGGCCAGAGGAGAACTCCACCATCTCGTCGGCCTGGATGTTCTTGAGGCCGTAGACACGGGCGATACCGTCTCCGATGCTGAGCACCCGGCCCGTCTCCTCCAGGTCGGCCTTGGTCGAGGTGCCTGACGGTGGACGAGGGGATGAAGCTGGGGTTAGTCACGGCGCCGGATTCACACAGAATTCAGACTAATCGAGGAAAAAGCGGCGAAATGACATTTTGCAATAAGTACTGAAGCTATGGCAGGCAAGGTATCTGTGTTGGTGACCTTTACCCCGCTACATGCTGAGCCACGCAGCAGATCAGCAGGCCACCACTTAGTGTACTTTCTCTCCTTAGGGCAGCACAACAGGGTAGTAACTGCCCTTACACAGAGAAAGACACTTTACCATATAGATACTTTACAGAGTATTCATGGATTGTGCTTTATTTGGGTGGTTGCTTAGAGCACAAACTATCAAGATCCTGAAAGCATCCCTTATAGAATGCAAAATTCTGGTTAAAAATCTAGTTTTACAATTTGTGACATACCTACATCACATCGCACTTTAATAATCTATCTCTGCCTCAACTGCACTCCGTACCCAGGATGCGCTCCTCCAGGATGGAGGAGATCTCGGCGGAGCCGGCGGCATGCTGGCTGGTGGAGGCGCTGAACTTGCGGCTGGCGACCTGGACAATCGGCAGCGAGGTCTTGGTGACCTGTGGAAAACAATAAGTTTGAATAGAGCTAGGAGGCAGTTACTACTAACTGAAGTCATCTACAGCTTAATTTCCATTTCTCATTCTGGAAAGAAATCTAGATTTCATATTTTTACATTCTTATTACTTGCACTATAATCAGTACAGTTTAGAATTGTATTTTAGAATGTCGCGACTGATGTCACTCATGTTCTCAATCAACTAGCGGTCCATCTCATTACTCAATTAGAAATGTATTTCTGGCGTTACCGGACAAGTTTTCGTCCGCGCAAATTTTTGTTCATTACACTTTTTTAAGACGCTCATATTGGGTCAAATTAAAACCAACGAGTAAGGCAAGCCAAGTCAGGTCAGGTCAGGTTACGTTGTCATGTTTATTTCGCTTCTGGTTTAAAAAAGCCATATGAAAATTTGTCCTGGAATCGTAAATCTTGTGGTGAAAAGTTTGAGTTTGCCTGGCTGGGGCTCGATGCACTCTCCATGACCTATGAGACTGACATGAGACTCCCCATGGTACCTATGCTGAATTGTCTGCGTTTGGAAAAGAGCAGCTATTGGGAGTTGAAATCAATGAAAGCGATGAAGTCGCCGGAATACCTTCTCTCGTTAATATGCTAAAATCGTTTGACCATTTTCTGATATTTTTATGAACACTTTAGAGAAACCAACTGATGGTTCAGAAACCATTCAATCCCCAGGGCAATTTCTCCTCTCTGTAACAGGCAGCCTGCATTCTAAAATATCTTACTTAGGTAAATAAACCCTCACACTTATGGGGTCGATGCATACAATGTGTTCTGTGCCGGTTACGAAGGGCGAGTTTTTTTTTTTAACAAACAGCCAAACTTCACTTGTTACAAAATCAGACGTAGACACGGTTTGAAGATTCTTTGTGATGACGAATGTGAT